CAGGAATTTGCTGCTGTGAGAGGCAGTGGTTCCCCAAGCCTTTTGCTATGGGTTCCTATGAGAGTGCAGGAGGAGCAGCAGATGGAGCCATCTCCTTTAAGATGGCTCTACCTACAGTTTTGTCCAAGAGGAACATAGAAGGGAGGCTGGAAGTGGGTATGGAGGCAAACTTGCTTTGAGGAGTGCTGCTACCACTTCTTACTGAAATGGCAGGTTTGTCTCACTTTGGTTTTCTTTCCATAGTGCTGTCATTGAGCACACCAACAGAGTAATTTTCTTAGAAGATGACGACATTGCAGCAGTAACTGATGGGAAGCTTTCAATCCATCGGCTTGAACGTTCAGCTAGTGATGATCCTTCCCGGGCCATCCAGACCTTGCAGATGGAATTGCAGCAAATCATGAAGGGTGGGTTGAAACACTTGTAATTCAATATAGTCAAAGATGAGAAACTACTGACTGAGTATGTAGTAAATAGACCTGACGTTTGTGCTATTTGTCCTGGGAGCTGGCGATTCCTGGGCTTGCAGTCGAGGAGAAGATGGGCGCTATGGGACCCTACCCGTTTTCAGTCTCAGAAAAGAGTCCTAGGTACTACTTTGATCTCAATATTGAGTGAAAACTTAAATAATGTTAACATGTTGTTACCAAACTTGGATTGTAAACAAAGAACTGAGATGGAAATGGAACCGAGAAATTTCTTTAAAAAGAATTTCCATTACCTTGTTAGTGTTGGGAAAATGAAACCAACTTAACAGAGCAAACTACCTGTCCCTTCTTTCTTCTCACCTCTTCCTAAACCTCTGTTTAAGCTAACAAAGTTAGCTTAAATCAGCTTGCTACATTAGGTCATCTTAAAAATTATCTTTGTAATTATAATAGACTTGAAATAACAAACTGCGTAAATAAGCATGACTGTGTAATGTTTTTCTAAACAGGTAACTTCAGTGCATTCATGCAAAAAGAAATTTTTGAACAGCCAGAATCAGTTGTCAATACTATGCGAGGCAGGGTGAATTTTGCGAGCAGCACAGGTAACTTAGTGCAACTTGAATGCTTGTTCTAAGCCAGTAAAATTGAAATATAATAACTAGAAAATAAAACACGTCATTAATACATGTTTTTCCTTTTGTTTATAATTACAGTTCTGCTGGGTGGTCTGAAAGATCACTTGAAAGAAATCAGAAGATGCAGAAGACTGATCATTATTGGCTGTGGGACCAGTTTTCATGCTGCAGTAGCTGTACGTTCAGCCTTAGCTAAGATACATATATAACATCTAGCTGCTGGGTTTTTGGACAACAGATGTTTGTTTTTTTTTTCCTTTCTAAATCTCATACTTGGCCTTTTATTTGGGGGTCTGATACTCTATTACAGTTTTCTCTTTTATGCTACATTCTTTCTTAATCCTTCTCTGTTGTTACCTGCTGTCCTAGAAATTAAGTCTTTTCATCTTGGTGTTGAAGCTCTGATTGGTGAGTTGTAACGATCAGCTTCTAAAATAAGATCCAATTAGATCTTCATTACATTATCACTCTTAAGATGTCAAGATTCATATGGGTGGCAATATTAATAAATGTTGTGTGCTGATTGAATTTAGACTCGACAAGTACTGGAAGAACTAACTGAGTTACCTGTGATGGTGGAGCTTGCTAGTGACTTCCTGGATAGAAACACACCTGTATTCAGAGATGACGTGTGCTTTTTTATAAGTCAGTCAGGTGAGTTGTTTCTACTGTTTGTCTTCAATTGGATGAAAATCGTAGAGGAAAAAAAAAACACCCAACAAATACAATTTATTCCTGTCAGAATGTTGCAAAGAGGGACAGCGGCTAACGGATTATCTGTTTTCTGTCTTGAATGCAAGTTTTGTTTCAGATTTGATTCAAATATGTAGGCAATGAGTGAGTGCTGGAACATTATTTTCAATTGTATTTTGCATTTCTGTAAGTGTGAATGCAGTTATGTGATTTCTAGAGCTACACAGAGTAATCCTGTATAGATTTTTTTTTTTTAAGCTGCTTGGGTGCCATTACTATCCTATACAGCCTTAAATGTCAACTTGTGAATACATGCTTTCTAGGCGAAACTGCAGATACACTTATGGCCTTGAGGTATTGTAAAGAACGTCGTGCTCTAACAGTTGGCATCACAAACACAGTTGGAAGCTCAATATCCAGGGAGACTGACTGCGGTGTACATATCAATGCAGGCCCTGAGATAGGTGTGGCAAGCACAAAGGTAACTGCTGTTCACTGTTTGACTTTCATGCTTTTACCATGGTGGATTCCAATTAAAATTTTAATTGTGGCCCTTCAGATTGAGAACATGCTAACTCTCTATAGACTTAGCTGCTAAATGTTTTGTTTTGTCTGCAGGCTTATACCAGCCAGTTTGTGTCTCTTGTAATGTTTGGCCTAATGATGTCTGAAGACAGAATTTCCTTGCAAAAAAGAAGACGGGAAATCATTAGCGGACTACAATCATTGCCAGGTATATTGAAGTTTTGGGGGTAGAGAGGAGTGGGGGACGGGGGAGTTCTTGAAGAATTTAAGTGACTCTGAGATCCTTAGAAATGTTTCTTCCTTATCTGAGTTGACTTAATTTGATAGTTTATACTTTTTAGAGCCTTTCACTTCAAATCAGTATTGATAAAAGGAAATTAATTCAAGCTGACTTTAAGATAGTTGTATTTCTAAAGCAAGTTTTGAACAAATGGGATGTATGGACACTGCTTTAACCAATAGTTGCTTGGAAAATTTGTTACTGAAAATAAGGCTGGACAGGGCATACTAAACCACAGTTGAAGTTACAAAAATAGAATTAACAGCTGATTTATGTTTGCCATAATAAATCACTGAACATCCTGCTACAAGCAAACTAGTAAATTCTATTTCTTCCAATTGATAGAAACTTTTATATGTGCTTTTTATGTGATCTGATAGAGATGATTAAGGAAGTCTTGTCCCTGGATGAGAAGATACATGATTTGGCTCTTGAACTGTACAAACAAAGATCACTGCTGGTTATGGGTCGTGGATATAATTACGCCACTTGTCTGGAAGGAGCTCTGGTATGAACCTCTTGAAATCTTTGAATGTTATTTAAAATCAGCTTTTGAGCTTTTGGCAACATAGTTTATTTCTAATATTTAATTCTGCCGCCATAAAATTGAGTTCTCTAACTTAGAGCAGTTAGTCCTATTGGATTGAACACATACATAAGATGAACAACCTTACTTACAATACAATATCACTTTCTTGGTTCTTTCCCATAATAAATGCACTGTTTAATAAATGTATTTTAAAATAAAACCTTAAAATGCTGCACTGTCTGAAAATCCTCATAAAAACACTGTGCTGGTGTTTCAATGAGACATTCATGCAGGAAACTGCTAAATTATATAATGAACATCCTGGTGGAACAGATGTTTATCCATGTCTCGCAGAAGATTGAAAAGGTAAAGGCAGACTGCATTACTGAAGTTTGTGCTGGGTGTTAGGTTAGTAAACTTCCTGTTGGTTACTCCCTTCTTGCTTATCTGCAAATGCAAGTGCATGGGCAAACGCCGCTTAGAAATCTCAGCGTATGAGCTTGTCTGTTATAGACACTAAATGATCTTTGAAAATGTCAACTTGATACCATATATCTGTAGTGAAGCAGCAAATGTGTAGCCTCGGTTTTTTGGGTTTTTTGTTTTTTTTTTTTGTTTTTTGGCTTCTTCTGGCCTTTATTTCCCATTTGATTTATGGGCAACTTGCTGGAACTTGCTTTTTAGAAAATCAAAGAAATCACCTATATGCACTCTGAAGGCATCCTGGCTGGTGAGCTGAAACATGGGCCACTAGCCCTAATAGATAAACAAATGCCGGTTATCATGGTGATAATGAAGGATCCTTGCTTCACCAAATGCCAGAATGCTCTGCAACAGATCACGGCTCGACAGGTAAGCTGTCCTTATAGGAAAAGAGAATGTGCACATTGAAATGTATTGCTGTTGACTGTGCTTCAGAAATAGGATTTTTTTTTTTCTTTCTAATTAGAAAGTTGCAAGTAAGGTGCTGCATCTGCATCACAATTTGTCATTAAAGGTTGACACCAGTAACAGAAAACTGACTGCATGTGAGTGTGTTTTGGTTTTGAAGCAAGTGGAAAAATGTTAAAAATCTACAGGACGAAAACATTCAAGTCTCGTTTACGTAATGGCTTTTGTCACTCACGCTGTTGTGCAAGACTGACATTGTTCTTGTCTACTATCGAGTGTCTTCAAACATATTACAGACGTGCCGTGAACCAGTATCTCAAAGTATTTCTAACCCAGATATTCACTAACTCTTTAAAATCTCATCTTCAGGGTCGCCCAATCATTCTGTGTTCCAAAGAAGACACAGAAAGCTCAAAGTTTGCCTACAAAACAATTGAGCTGCCTCATACGGTTGACTGCCTTCAAGGAGTCTTGAGTGTTATTCCCCTCCAATTGCTTTCGTTCCACCTGGCTGTTCTCAGAGGATACGATGTAAGTGCCTTCTATATTTAGGCAATCCAGTTAGAGCAGTTGTGAACTTCCTCCTACCAGCGTAAAGTGAAAGATATAGTTATATGGCATCTCTAACAAGGAACTATGATAGTAGTTAGGGGTACTGGTAGTGACTGTGATAGTAGAAGTGACACTTTAGTGCCAATTCTTCAGCTCTATTTTTGTAATTGGCACCCTTAAAAACAAAAAAATTCAGAAATATAATTTGCTTAGTTCTGACTCTTTAAGAATGCAAAGGTACCCTGTACCTAAGGTACCTAACAAACACGGTTTTGCACAGGGTACCTTAGCAGGGCTTTGGAAGCAAGGATGACTTCAACAGTGAGTCATTATCTGCAGATCTATAGTCTCCAGTGTGTGTTCATGAGTTCTGCTCTATCTAGACATATTAGGAAGTCTAAAAAAAGCACATATGAAATTAAGTGTCAGATGAAGAATGTTAGTTTTACTGTCGTATACTGAAAGTCTGTCTTTTCATTCTAGGTGGACTTTCCAAGAAATTTGGCCAAATCTGTTACCGTAGAATAACAGCCAAGAAAAGTGGATGTTTTTGTCACCAGACCTCTAAGTTATAACTCTATAAATGTGTGTGGTGTTTTTTTTTAAACTTGATAGGTACACATTTTTCTAAAGAGAATGACAATGCTAACTGGAAAGTGTCAGAAGGCTTTATCTTCTTTTTATGCAGCTTTAAAAGCTTTTGATGTGCCTTGTACCCAAGTGCTTTTGCTCACAGCAAACGTTCCTCTAAGTTCTGAAATTGCCAAAGGAGAAGATAAAAATCATTGTTTACACATGGTATACTGAATGAAGTTTTCTACTGTGCAATATATATATAGAGCTCTCATTAGAGCAACTGTGAACATTTTTTTTAGCCTTCACTACTTAATTAGTTTTAAAGATATAGTATTTATAAGTACAATTGTATAGCTTTTTTAAGTTATTTTTTTTAAGTATGTTGCTTATCTTGTAGCATTGATAATGCTCAGAATGTAAATACTGAGCACACTGACACTTGTGTCTGGTTGTTAGGTTTTTCCTGCTTCAGCCTCAAACGGCAAATCTGTTGTCCTTTTTCCTCCTCGGCTTGCCCTCCCACTTTGCATCTGTGTTTGTATTTAACCAGTCTGTTCCAAAGCTCTTCTGTGGCTGTAAATTGCCAGCTATGTCTTAAAGTCATGCTTCTTTCAACGAACTATTTGAAAAGCCAGAGCAACAGTTTGCTTTGTATGCTGCCCCAGCTCTTATTTGCATAACATGTACAGTGCAACAAAATAAGGGAACTGGATGTCTTTCAAGCGATACTTCTGTTTGACGAGTTTACGATGAAATTACTATGCAATTAAAGAAAAGATGATGTAAATTCTTGCTGTTTGTTTTTTTCTTTTCCCATCTGACTCCTCCTCCTTTCAGTCTGAACATGATACAATACTGCAATACTCTTATGCCAGTAGGAGAGACAGTGCTCCCCTAGCTTTGCCTAAACCCTGGTATCAAGAGTTCTTTCTCTTCTGTTGCTTGAGGTAGGCGTGTGTGGGTTACTTTGTTTTGTTTTTGTGTCCTACAGATCTCTTTTTAGCCACGTGTTCTTTTACAAAGGTGAACACACGTCACTCTCCTTCTCCAGCAGCTGTATCTCAAAACAGTGAGTTGGGTTTTGGTAGTTTGCTCCATATCACGCTTTTTTCCAGGCACACGAGTACAGGAGAAGCAGAATTTGGTGACTGCTCCTCAGTTTTTCTTTTAGCTCTCCCTGCTCAGCAGGCTGGATGTTGTGAGCTCTGTTTTTTGGGTACCTTAACTCAGACTTTAGGAATGCTACTAGTAGAATCTCATGCTAAAAATTAGGTAGACCAGGCCTTCGTGTCCCCACCACTACCTCCCTTTGGGGATCTGGGTTTCAGTTCCCTATTTGTGATGACTGGAAGAAAATGACTTTAAATTGAGGAAAATGAGTAAGTCTTGCTAGTCTAGTAGACGTAAATACTAGTAGTTGGTGTGATGGAGTTCATTTAAATGCTAGGTGACTCTTCGGAGTAATTTAACCGTACAACATTCCTAGCTAAAAGCTTCACCAGACACTTAATAAAACGGCAGTAGAATCTTTGGCTATAGTTCTGACTACAGTTCATACTAGTTAGTGACTGAGGCTTGTATTCTGCCTTCCTCTGATGTAGACGAATGGGAAGAACTTTCCCAGAGCTGAAACAGGAAGCTATGTCTATATTTTACACTTGCTGTCTGTGGTCATAATGTTGCCTTCTAGGCCAAGAAAAAAATTGCAATAAACTTGCATTTTAATAGCGTACCTACTTTACAAATAATGGCACATTAAAAACTATTTCAATAGCAACAAAAATATTGTTTACACCTTCAAGCAAGTACTAATCAAGGAAAAATAAGAATTTTGTTAATATAAAAGGCCCTACTTAAAGATTTCAGGTCTCAAACTGTACCTATTTGCAAAGGCACACTTTTTTAGTTGTGAACTAGCAACAGGAAGCATCAATAGGCCTCAAAGAAATAAGGTAGATATATGCATGAGGGTCTGTAGTCATTTGTAACTATCAGGAATGATCTCTTTCATTTCTGTTTTTTGTTTAATAACTCATCTAAATCCTTGACTAAACATTTTCTTTATGTATGTACAAGACATCCCCCTGCAGGTTTGCTTCTAAACTGAAATGTTTAGAACGTAGGTTAATAATTTGAAAGGGGTACACTAGCTTGCTGTAATAGAGCCGCTTCTGATAATTACTTTTTATAACTACCTAGAAGAACCCCAATCATAGCTAAAAGCACTGTGATAATCTGACCTAGATGCCCAGGACATGTAACTCAATATTTGACCTGCTTTGGTAGGTAACAGAAGGGTGCCTCCTACTCTCTAGAATTACTATCCTCTTCATATTAAGAGAGGAGCTATTACAGGAAGCTGACAGCAGTGCACTTCAGAGGCTAGCTGAACTGATTTATTTAAAATAAAAATGCAAAATAAAACTGTGGCGGGCCCTGTCCAAATCTCATGCGTGAATAAAAAGAACGGAAAAGAAAGCTTGCTCTCTTTTCCTAGGAGAGGCAGGAAAAACACATCAAGTCTATTCTTGGTCACCACCTGTTTTAAGAAACAAGCAGTCCTAAGGTCAAGGTAGAGAGATGTATAGAAAGCTTATGTTTTTTTGAGAGGGGACAAAAACAGTTGAGTGAGGTAGGAGATAAATATTCCCTTGGCCTCCGAACCAGCCCTCGCTGGAAGAGCTGCGTGGAGCTGGTGGGTGTTGGTACTGCTGCAGGTGCGAGGGGACATAAGGGTGCTGCTGCTGCTGGGGCCCTGTCCGACCCTCCCACCCTGCAGTGCAGGCTTGGCCACCCCACGTTGTCACGGGTCCTACCAGGAGCTCCTGAGCACGGAGGTGAGGTGAGGGGCTGCCCACGTGTGATGTCATCTTGGGGTGTTGAGGGCCGTGCTGACCTCGCAGCGTGCCTCCCTCCACCTGCTGGGGCAGGGCCGCTCTGAGGAAATGCTGCCGTCACCCGGCCGTGGGGGCTGGCGCCACAGCATCTCATGACGGGGCACCTCTGGGCGGTGATGACATCATAAGCACGGTGACCGCCTGACATGGGATGATGACCTCACTCCAGGGGGCGGGGCCGCAGCCGGATTGGCTGGGGGCCACCCCGCCCCCCCTCGGGCCCCTCCCCTC